CTTACAACATTTTTAGTTTTTTGACATTGGGAATTTTCCTTTCTTACATTGATGCAAGTTATTTAGATATGATTTTTTTTTTATTTTAGAGTAACTCAGGAAGCTGATGTAGTTTCAGAACAACTCAATTTAAGGATGACCCCACAAGGATTTCTGACAGGAGATATGCAGTTACTGGCACCCCCTTGTGGTGGAATCTATCTAGATCCATATACAGGGTTGGTTTACAATGACAGGAATACGTGACATCTTGTATTGGCTGAAACAGTCAATTATTATAGGATAAAGTGTCTTACAATTTTACATTTTCTTTCTGATTTCAGGAATACTTAGTACAATGCATTATGATCAAAAACATCATTTGATCTATTCATGGACTTCCAATTTCAGTGAACAGTGTTGCTTAGCATTAATGTTGCCATGATAAATTAAGAATAATATAATTATTATACCCAAACAAAAGAAGTTTGGAGCGGTATATAGGAATCATCTTGTCCATCTGTCTATCTGTCCATGCAATCTTGTCCAGGCTCTAACTTTGTAGTGGAGAATCATTGGAAGCTCATACTTAGTACATAGATTGCTTATGACCCCAAAATCTGTCTTGATTTTGACCCAAAGTTATTCTTGCAAGTTCAAGGTCACAGGCAGGAAAGGTATAAAATTCTTGTAAGGGCTATAATTTGGTAATGTAGAATCATTAGAAGCTTGTACTTGGTACAAAGATTGTTTATGGCCAAAATTTGAATTGGCCCTTTTAAAAAATGCAGTGGGAAGGGGGTGGGGGGTATCATTTTATGTGATTGCTTAAATAGTACCTCTAGTTAATTTTCATAGTAATAGTCTCTGTTATGTATTAAACTTCTTACAAATGAAGACTGCATTCAGGTACATAAAACTACAGTCAAACCTTGTTATCTTGAACTTGATTGGCTTAGAAAAAACTTAAGAGGTATCTGTGGATTGAAGATCTTATTTTCAAGAACATAATTTAAAAACAGCAAATGTGCTTAGACTTCATGCTTGGACTACTTTTGGGACTTAAAACTCACTTTGCCATATCCATGGCATTTGAGATATAATTTTCTGAAATACTGAGGCCCAGGTGTATATACCATTTACTGAGTCCAGTAAACAGTGTTGATGCAAATTCTAGAACACAGAAATTTATTTTGAATATGTAGCTTCTTCTTTAATTTCTTTCTGATTAGAATATAAGCTAATAAGATTCAATTACAGTCAAACCAGTCAAAGTGACCACCTTTATTAAAGCAATATGAGCTGCAACTTTGATGTCAGAAATTTTTATTACAAAATTGTAATTAACTTTTTCAATGACAGAAAAAAGAACGTTTATAAACTTCTGTCATTCATATTTGTGATGGAAGAACTTATTTATAAGCTTTGATTGAAGCAAAATTACATTATTGTCATTCTGTACAATATTGATTTCTTATATAATACTATATATTTGATTGTACAGAATCGTTTATTCTGAAACAATTTATTTCTGTGTAATTGATCAAAAAGGTTTAAATTACATAAAAATTTATCATAATAATACATTTTAACAGCAAAATAAAATTCTCAAAAATGCAGCTCATATTGCTTTAAGCGACTACCTGTAATATGCGACCACTAAATTTCCTCCTGAAAAATATATATTACCTGCGTTCAGTGACTCCCTGTTTTAACGTGACAAGGACCTTTTTAGCTCACCTGAGCCGAAGGCTCAAGTGAGCTTTTCTGATCACATTTTGTCTGTAGTCCGTCTGTCTGTCTGTCCATCCGTCTGTAACTTTTCACATTTTCAACTTCTTCTCAAGAACCACTGGGCCAATTTCAACCAAACTTGCCACAAAGTATTCTTGGGTGAAGGGGATTCAAGTTTGTTCAAATGAAGGGCCACACCCTCTTTCAAGGGGAGATAATAAAGAATTAGTTAAAAATTAACTAAAAATTCTTCTAAAAATCTTCTTCTCAAGAACTACAAAGCCAGGGAAGATGAAACTCATGTAGAAGCATCCTCAGGTAGTGTTGATTCAAATTTGTTCAAGTCATGACCCCCAGGGGTAGGGCGGGGACACAATGGAGGATCAAAGTTTTACATAGAAATATATAGGAAAAAACCTTTAAAAATCTTCTTCTCAAGAACAGCAAAGCCCTAATTGGTCATATTTATATGGAAGCATCCTCAGGTAGTGTAGATTCAAATTTGTCCAAATCATGACCCCCGGGATAGGGTGGGGCCACAATGGAGGATCAAAGTTTTACATAGAAATATATAGGAAAAACCTTTAAAAATCTTCTTCTCAAGAACAGCAAAGCCATGATGAGTCATATTTATATGGAAGCATCCTCAAGTAGTGTAGATTCAAGTTTGTTCAAATCATGACCCCCGGGGGTAGGGTGGGGCCACAATGGAGGATCAAAGTTTTACATAAAAAAATATGGGAAAAACCTTCAAAAATCTTCTTCTCAAGAACAGCAAAGCCATGATGAGTCATATTTATAAGGAAGCATCCTCAGGTAGTGTAGATTCAAGTTTGTTCAAATCATGACCCCCGGGGATAGGGCGGGGCCACAATGGAGGATCAAAGTTTTAAATATAAATATATAGGAGAAATCTTTAAAAATCTTCTTCTCAGGAACAGCAAAGCCCTGATTGATCATATTTATGTGAAAGTATTCTCAGGTAGTGTAGATTCAAGTTTGTTCAAATCATGATCCCCTGGGGTAGGGCGGGGCCACAATGTAGGATCAATGTCTGAAATAGAAATATATAGGAAGGTATCTTCTGATGAAGAACTGCAAAGCCATGATTAGTCATTTTGATATGGAAGCATCCTCAGGTAGTGTAGATTCAAGTTTGTTAAAATGATGACCCCCAGGGATAGAGATGGGCCACAATGGGGGATCAAAAATTATACATAGGAACATATAGGAAAATATCCTCTTCTCAAGAAATGAAAATCAGGTTTAGTCATTTTGATATGGAAGCATCCTCAGGTAGTGTAAATTCAATTTTTGTTCAAATGATAACCCCCAGGGGTAGGGTGGGGCCCAATGGGGATTGAAAGTTTTACATAAGAACACATAGAAAAAATATATCTTCTCAAGAACAGGAAAGCTATGTTTAGTCATATTGATATGGAAGCATCCTTGGGAAGTGTAGATTCAAGTTTGTTCAAATGATGACCTCTGGGATAGGGAGGAGCCACAATGGGGGATCAAATTTTTACAAAGGAATATATGGGAAAATTTTTTTAAAATCTTCTCAAGTACAACAAATCCATTTGTTATATTGACATGGAAGCATCATCATGTAGTTTAAAATTCCCCCCCCCCCCCCCTCCAATCCGGTAATCTTTTCAATACTAAATTGATTTGTGTCTAGCCAATGTGCTCAGGTGAGCGATGTGGCCCATGGGCCTCTTGTTTGCTTATGAAATCCACTTCTTTCATCAATCAGTAAATGCAGCTTAGAACTGCTTTTTCAAGCCACCTGTTTAGATTTATTATTCAGTGTGCTTTTCAAATGAAACATACAGTGGTGTACATATCAATGAGAGATCTTTTAACTACTTAAAATGATACTTTATATGATTATTTATAAAGACATAAATAGAAACAATAAAATGTTTTTCTTTGGAATTAACAGTTGCAGCTATTGCAGAAAAAAATTACACAACCCTTGTCAATTTTTTTCTGCAACAGCTTAATTCCTGTAATAGCAGACAAAGCATTTTATTGTTAAACTGATTTGAACATCCAAATTTCTTGGACTTTTTTCCCCTTTTCAGGAAGATCACATACAACAACAATGGGACAGAACCATGGAGGGGAGTCATGAAGTCGGGGGATTCCTCAGTTTCAGATCCTTGGAGGCTCCCCATACCCACACCTCTGGAGGTTTATCATGATGAGGATGGAGTCAGTGTTCATTTATTGATGACATCACAGACAAATTTTAATCTCTATAAATTCAATGACTTCAGCCATAATGTCTGTCATCTGATCTGGCGTGGGCCTAATGGTAGAGAGGTCAAGGTCAATCTGATGACCAAATTGGCAGATTTAATCTATCAGGTAAAATATAGTTTCACATAAAAGGTCAATTCTGCAGTTCTCTATTTTTTCTAAATTTTGACAGAATCTGTCAAAATGGGAAAAAAATTTAAATAATATTTCTTTGGTACAGTAAACTCGTTTATTACAAACACATAGCGAATTTACAGTTAAAGCAAATTTTTTCAGAATCCCAGCTGGCAAAATTCTTAACAATTCATTGTAAATTTTTATGGATATAACGAACTCGGATATAGAGAATTTATGGATATAGCGAACTGATTTTGTGTCCCCTAGAGGTTATAGATAATGAAATTTACATATTTTATAGCTAATTTTCAAAGATCTCAATTTTTAAAATATTGAACTGACACTATTTATACAATGAAATATGTGGAGATAACGAACAGTATTTGAGCTCAAATGTCCATTAAACATTACATAATAGGAGCAGAGCAAACACGGACCTCTAAGACATCAGAGGTGGGACCAGGTGCTATGGAGGGGTGAGCATCCCCTGCCGACTGGTCACACCCGCCGTGTGCTCCTTGTCATGATTGGGAAATAACAGAAAATCTGTCAACAATTCAGTGTGTAAATAATGGCCTAACAATTAGTATGAAAAAAGTCAGTCAGCATTTGACTTCAAGTATTTTAAATTTGAAATTCAATTCATTCAAAAATATTTGAACACCAAGGTAACTTTTGTATTAAATACTTCCCAAAATACATTTGGTACTTATACTTGATGGAAAAAAATCTATTTTTCTAATTCGCTATATATACTTTAACAAATTTATTATACGGATATAACGAATTACGATAACGATATAGTGAAGTAATTTTGAAGATCCCCAAGACTTCACTATAACGTATTGCAGCTCAAATGGAAAAGCTAAAAAATACAAATGTAATAATTAAAGGGATAATACTGCAAACATTTCCTACTGAAGTTATTTAAGAAGAAAGGGCTTTGTGGTCAACAAATTACCCAACAGATCCACCTGAAAAAATGTGATTATTTGAGCAAAAAATCTGTATGTAGTCCACCCAGCCCTCTTAAACAATAAAATGCTTTCTTTGTTGAAACAGGAATGAATGTTTACAAATTATTGCATGAAAATGACATAGTTCACATGCATGTAATTGGTTTCTGCAATGGTTACACCCATTTCAAAGACATTTTTATTTATACATGTATGAGGTATTTATATCTTAATAAATTATTCATGTAAAGTGGGTGAAATTATTGTAATAAAATGTTACAGAGATATATTATACAAGATAGCTTTAAAAAATAAGAAAAATAAATTGTATATATTGCTCGGATAAAAAGCAATTAGTTCTCATGAATAATTAAAGAGAAAATATTCAGTGAAAGTAAATAACTAGGGTACACAAAGAATTTCCTCAACTTTTGTTGTATAAAAATCATTGTAATAAGTGAGGGGTTTTTTATAGAAAGAGGAAGAGGAGCTGAAAAATGTAATCGATTTTAAAGAAGAATCTCAGCGTCAGGTTGCTCTGGATGTACTGCAGACATTACACAATAAAGGACTGGGGTCGAAAGCACTAGTAAGCAGCAATTTAAGAGTCAAATATTCATCATCAATGTAATACTTCAGAGACTGTGTTCATTTGAATGAAATCTTGTTGTTTAGTGTTAATGCTTCATTTTGCATTACCCTAGTTGAACTTTTCTTTGTAAAAAAATATAGTCCCTGCTAGATTTTAAAAACAGAGTACCCCTACCATTTCAATGTTAAGATGTACAGGTTTAAGAAGGAAGGAAAAATATTATCCTAAGAATTTAGTGTCAGTATAAAGGACAATTATGCAGATATAATTTGAATATTTTGAGAAGTAAGAAACCTGACAAGAATCCCCTCTTTAAATACAGTGTATATATATTTTTTTCTTTCAGACTATTTCAAATCGTGTGCAATACAAACCTATATATTCAAAAAACCAATCAAAAACGGGCAAGGAATGGGAGAAAAAAGAGAATACGATTGTGGAAGGAAGAAAGTATGCATTTAACCTGGTGGCAGAACCTCTCATGTTTGGGAAGGCAGTAGCAATGATATTTGACCATTGTGAGCCATCTATAATCATGTCCAACTTTCTTGTGGTGAGTTGGTACTTTCTGAACCTGCAAAGTGGGCTGGAAAATGACACTCCTGAATCTCTTTTGTGGCATCTTTTTCGTCACTTTTTATTTTGGAGTGAATATTAAGGATGATGAATATTTATTACTTTTTTGCATGAACCGAAAAATATTTTAAAGACTTTAGAAATCCTTAGGTCTATACCAAGTACCCTCGTCATATGCCATACCGTCAGTATACACTCTGGTGCAGATCCAAGAATTTTTTTCCGTGGGTGGGGGTGGGAATGGAATCCACACCAGTCAAAAAAAAAATTTGATCCTTCACTTCTTAACCTTCATATATATGATGCTTCTTACCAACTTAACAGGGGTCCACATTTTTCAGGGGGGGGGGGGGGGTTCAAAGGTCATATTTTTTAGTTACTTTACTACTGTATGTACATTAAAAAAAATCACAAATTCCAGGGGTGTGTCTGGACCCCCGACTACCCTCTAGATCCACGCATGCTCTTAGATCTTTTAAAGCATCAAAGATAAGACCTTTGATATTAGCAAGTTTTGATTTTCATGAAATTTTTCTGTTCTAGTGCAGTACAGAATTAAGTTAACAATAGATTTTATTGCTTAGTAAGTAACATTGCAAAGTATTAGCTCTTGTGGTTTTCACACTTTAAATATAATTTTACAACATGTTTTGTAATTTTTTCTTATGACCTAGCATGTATCTGCTATTATATATGCTTATTTTCCTAGCTTGGTAGAAGGTGATAAGAAAAATAAGAATAATTGCTCATTTTTTATTAACATTTTATGTGGAACACGCATAAGCTTATAAATTAAGGGTGGGGGGGGGGGGCATTATATCTATATTAAAAAAAAAAACAAAATCAAAGATACACTGTACATGACTTTGACCTTCAACTGAGGTTTGAACAATAAAAGACATTTTTCAAGATTTTAACTGAAAAAAGATGATCCCTCAAGTTTCAGTAGTATGTAGACACACCAGGTAATTCAAAGTCTTCAAGGTTCTAACATTTTGAAAATGCCAAAATGGATCCATCATTGTTCATGATTTCCTGTTGCTTATTATCAATAATATAATGACATAACATATAGGTTTGGAAATGGGTTCACACTTGGATGATTACTGCTGATACTCACTCTGGGCTTGGCAGCGTTGGCCAAAATTAACATCTTGTAAATTTCCATGGGTTTATTTCAAATTTGAATAAAGATGTTTTGAATATGAAAACAGAGTATAATTGTAACCTTATCCACAGGAGGGAACCTTATGTATTGTAAATGTTATGCAATCATCTTTTATGGCACATCTTTCATAGTCAGTTCACAGCTTAGCTAATATTACAGTTGAGCTTTGGTATCTCAAACACTGGTATCTCGTTTACCATGGATTGTCAAATTGATTTGGAAGTACCAACCCCTTATTCTTTAAGTATTTTACCCTGGATTTCTCGAATCCTTGGATATCTCGAAGTTTTTTCTCGGTTCCACTGAGTTTGAGATAACAAGGTTTGACTTTATTTTTATTGGTTGAAGATCACCAAATCTCATGATCAAAGTTGGGAGTCAGTTAGAGGTTGAAGGTCTTAGAGCAAGGCTCACTTAGGATCTGAATCCTTTGACAGAGCTTCTTGGACAGCAGGAACATAAATTATTATAGTAAATCACTAAGTCTCAACAGTTATGTTTTAAATTGAAGGTAGGGTGACAGTCAGTTAATAGTTACTGTATATGGACAGGGCCATTTCATGCATAAAGTGAACTTAATTACTCTTTGCAACCATAGAAATTTCCTGTGTCTTTAATAAGCAATCATATTTTTCATAGATTTTCACCAAGCATAGGTTTATTCAAAACAATGTCCTAACTGTATTAAAATTCACAAATTAAAGAATAAATTTGAATATGTTAAAGAAATTACTCCCTGTTTCAGATAGCAAACTGTTCTTCAGAAGAGACATTTTTGAAAATGAAAATCCACTACATAGGGAAATGGTCCAAAGATTTCATACATTACAGTAGCAGTCAAGAGAATTCTTTCAATATACGGCCATGTCAGTTGTATCAGGGATACAGAATCAGCAACGCAGAAGTCATTCACTTTCGTCGTTCACGCAGGTAAGAGAGCATATTTTTTTATTTAGGAAGTTTTTTTAAGATCAGTTGATTTAGATATCACAAACATGAATATTTCGAATACCATGATATGTAGAAGTAAGTTGTATGCATTAATAAAGTTCCCATGATCTGTCTGTGTGTAAATTAAAATACCTTTTTTTAAATGCACCTTTACTTATAATTTTTGTCCTGTTTCAGTGAAACATTGTACAAAATGCCAAAAAAGTCAAGATACATAATATCAAAATTTAGGAAACTGTGTTACTGTAACAACTGTTGTTTACATTAGAACAATCTTTAATAATTTCTATTAATTATTTCTATATTATTTTTTATAACCCCTTCCATTTGATTTATTATGAAAAATGTAGTTTACAATGTAATTCATTTCATGAAGTCAAACAGATTTTCAAAAAGCTGTCAAATGTATTTTAAGCCAAAGTGCACCCCTTTTCACAAACTAGTTTAAGCACAAACTTGTACAGCTGCAGTCTTGATTACCGGTAAAGCTTCTCTTTTTTGTTTAAGAATTGAAATGTGCCATTCATTTCTTATTTTCTCAGATGATATTGTACATTATGATTTAAGGTTAATTGAAATTTATGATCAAGATGGCTCCTTGGTTAAAACTGTAGTAGGACTGGAAGATCTGCTACAGAGAAGTATTTACAAGAGGCAGATTTACCCACTGATAGTCAAAGACCAACTTATAGCTATCAACTATGAGAAAAGGTAAAAAATCAGAATTCTTTATTTGCTCCTCTACCAGTCATCATTTTCTAGGACCTGTTTGAGAACAAAGTATTCATTTTATTATGTGCAGGAAAACAACACACTCTGTTTTCATGCCCCTGTAATCGATTGGTTAGACCTATGGCTTTCATATTTCACATGTATATTCCTTGTGACAAGACCTTTCTAGGGTACCAACATATTTGACCTCTTGACCTTGAAGTTTGACCCACTTTTACAAAATTTTACCACACTTTAACCTTAACCATAACTTTAGAAAAGTTGGTGCTAGGGCTTTCATACTTCACATGTGTATTCCTTGTTATAAGACCTTTCCTTGGGTACAAATATTTTTTACCTTTTGACCTTGACCTTGGAGTTTGATCCACTTTAGAAAAACTTTGACCATTGCCATAACTTTTGAACGGTTGGTACATGTACTAGGGTTTTCATATTTCAGAGATGTATTCCTTGTGACAAGTCCTTCCCTTGGGTATCAACAAAATTTACCATTTGACCTTGACCTTTGAGTTTGATCTACTTTTGAAAGACTTTAACCTTGGCTATAATTTTTGAACAGTTGGTGCTAGGGCTATCATATTTCACAGGTGTATTCCTTGTGACAAATCCTTCCACTGGGTACCAACAATTTTTACCCTTTGACATTGACCTTGGAGTTTTACCTACTTCTGAAAAACTTTAACCTTAGGCATAACTTTTGAACAGTTAGTGCTAGGGCTTTCAGATTTCACAGATATATTCCTTATGACAAGTCCTTTTCTTGGGTAACAACAACATTTACCCTTTGACCTTGACTTTTGAGTTTGATTTACTTTGACTTTAACCTTGGCCATAATTTTTGAACAGTTGGTGCTAGGGCTTTCATATTTCACAGGTGTATTCCTTGTGACAAGTTCTTCCACTGGGTACCAACAGCATTTACCCTTTGACCTTTGATATTGACCTACTTTTGAAAATCTTTAAACCTAGCCATAACTTTTGAACAGTTGGTGCTAGGGCTTTCATATTTCACAGATGTTTTCCTTGTGACAAGACCTTCACTTGGGTAACAACAATTTTGATTTGTTTACCTTGACGTTGGGAGTTTAAACTTGCATGGATATTGTTTTCGGGATGCACACCAAAAGAAAAAAAAACATGATGTGAAATTTGCGTTACTTATAGATAACATTCGCTGAGGTGAGCTTAGTAATGTTTGATTACCTATGTTTTTTTTTAAAGAAGGTACATGTAATTAGCAAAGGTTAGATGTTTCTCAATAAAGTTAATAAGTTGAGGTAATGATTTGTGAACATAAAATTAAGAAAAAGGTCAGAATGGTTTTCAACAAGAATTAAAGTATACTTAATTTCAACTTATATAACTGGGCATTTCACTATTGATGATTATTTTATCCTTGCCTGATCCAAAGACTCTGTGATCATTTCTGATTTATGTTTGTCTTTTGTCTCTAGCCTTACAAATGTCAGCTTCTCCCCCTTTTGTTGTTTGTTTGATTAATCCCTTTTTGAGAGGAAGAGCAAAATGAGTCAGGAAGACTGTCTAAATCACAAATTTGTTTTTTTTACTTTGCAGACTGTGGTGCTTCAGAAATGGAGAAGAATTCTACAGTCCCAACATAAGGGAGGCCACATCAGTAGCAGCCTTTGGGGACATTCTGATCGTTTTGATGGACAACAAGACACAGTTTGTCGCAGTTCATCAGCTTCGAATTCTCAACATTAATATCACAAAATCCTGTCAGAGGTAAACATTAAAATACTTTTGATTATACACATCTAACATGATGATCCATTTGTAAATGTTCTTAGCCTTGTACATTAGTAAAAGGTTAAACTGTTTAGATTTTCAAGGTACAGAAATTGCTCATTATACTCCAGCTGACTTGCAGATATAGGTATTTGTTGTAAGCTTCTCTTCATGTTAAAAGAATAACATGTCACAGTTTTAAGATTGATTTTAAAGACTCTTTTAACTGTTGGAGTTTTGGTTTTATTTCTTGTGTCGCTGTAAACAGAACTTGTTTTATGTTGTAGTGATGTAAAGCTGAGGATAGGAGAAAACAGACAAGAGATAGAACAGAGCTTTAAAACTGTTCAGGTGTTATCTACACAGACAGTCACCAGAGACAGTAGGACTTATCTGTGGTGTATAGCAGCATTAGACAGAACCATAGTGTGTCTTGAAGTACCCATAGATATGTCAAAGTAGGCATTTCATCAAAGATTTTTATATTTATTGAGATCTATCAATATTTATTTCTATACATTTGTATCTATTCTAAAAGCAGTAACCACTACTGTAACAGAAAGACCCTGAGAATCCAATAAAGCCAAATTTCCATCATTACTTGTACTAAATTTTTTTTCAATATACTTTGTGGATTGTGTTGACATGATTTCTCCTTTCTGCTAGGTGCACAGAGGTCACTGTTTTCCTGACCTTGACCCTGGCAGGTTATCCAGTGGAGGCCTATTATATCAGTAAGACAGGTCAGTACTGTTACAGAGTAATTCCTTTGTGTCTTAATTCATTAGTCCAAATCCTGATACTAATTATCACAACACTGTTTACATATGCTTCTAATGCTCAGAAAAATAAAGGTAAGTAAGCCAAGGAGTGAAAAAGAGAAACCTTACTTGGACTAGGACAATAAGGCTCTGGCATTCCTGATGTCTTCAGTGCTAAAGAAGGAGACTCATAGACTACTTTTAGTTCTGGATAGAACAACTGTACATAAAAGGTTTAATCCCCCCCCCCCCCAAAAAAAAAAGTACCTTTTTACATTTAAATAGACAAATATCATAAAGTGTTTTGTCCATGGACATAACACACAGAATCAAATTCTTTGATTAGACAAATAAAGCATCTGCTCAACAAAATGGAACCTGCATGTGCTCCCAAGTCAGAAGTTTCAGACCTTTGATCTGGAAGTTATGTTAAAACCTGGGTGAAATTTTATGAAAAGCATTGTTCCTCTAGTGAAATCTTGACCATCCTGTCTATTTTGTCTTACTTACAGAGGGATTTCTTGTAACCTTCACCCAGCACAGTGCCCTGTCTGAGGCCTGTATAGAACATCTCTGTCACTACAACTTTGACGGAAAACTGTTGGGGGTACTTCCCTGTCTAGGCCCTGGACCGAGATCCTTCTGCCACACCCACCTTCCAGGAGACCCTAAGGGAGGGAGTGGAGGGTTGCACCTGTACATGAGGGATGGACACAATGGAATTGTGGGAATTCACTTGAATGACTATCATCATTGAAAATTAAGTGCCTTCATAGAACTACTGGTCCTGTAGCCTTTTCTCTGACAATGTTTCTGACTGCTGAAAACATCACTATAAAAACCATAGAAATCGGAGGACTGCAATGAAGTTGAACAGTTTTCGTAGTATACTGTATACCCTTTAAACAAAAATTTTAGCAAGGACTTAATTTTGGCATTATTGATTATTAGTGAGGGGGTTGAGATAACTAAACTTGAATATTGCCAGCAATTCATTCAACATGGAAGGTTACTGTTTTATTCCTAAGCATCACTAAAATTGATTTTCACTAAAATCATACATCGATTTTGAAGAACAAATTACTATATTTGCATCTCCTTAAAAATTCCACCAATACAGTATTTTAGCATGTAACTGTGTGTTGAGAAGCTCTAGTTTTTAGATAATATTTCATATAGAAATCTCAAAATATTGTCCCAAAAATCACTGCCTGTGATATATATTTTTTTCTACCAGTTTAATTTATTTTTGTAACACAATTTTAGGCTTATGTCTAAAACAAGCCTTACTGATCAAAGCTTATCTGTTGTCTGTCACACAGCCAGTTTGTTAACTTTTCACATTCTTGACTTCTCCAGAATCAAACCTCTTTCAGTAGAACTTGGCACAAAGCATCCCTTGATAAAAGGGTTTCAAATTTATTCAGTTTATAAAGGCATGCTCCTTTTAAAGGGGAGGTAATTAAGAATAGTAAAAATGTGTTTGAGAATTGCTGGGCCATTAAAAATGACTTATAGGAATGTTTACTTATCAAGTGGAGGTTTATATTTTTAGGTCACCTGAGTCACTCAGGTGACCTATTGCTATCTGTTTTTGTCCGTCGTCGTGCGTCGTCCGTCGTGCGTTAACTTTTGAACATTTTTAACTTCTTCTCTAGAACCGCTCAACCAATTTCAACCAAATTTGGTATATAGCATCTATGGGTGAAGGGGAACAAAAATTGTGAATTTCATGGTCCCTGCCCCCCCGGGGCCTGAGGGGTGGGGCTAAAACCACCAAAAATAATGCAATCTTTAAAAATCTTCTTCTTTACTCCCGGACATGAAGCAGTCAAACTGTTGGCATCATTGTAATAAGCATTGAGCCCTCTACCAAAATTGTGAAATTCATGGCCCCAGGGTCAGGGGTTCTGGCCCCAGGGTGGGGCTATATAGATCATATAGTGAAAGTGCATAAATTCTTTGAAAATCTTCTTCTCTGCTCCTGGGTATTAAATAAAGTTACTAAGTACATAGTTATGATGAGCAAGAGTGCCTCTTCCAAAATTGTGAAATTCATGGTCCCAGGGTCAGGGGTTCTGGTGTTAGGGCGGGGCTGTATTGATTATATAGTGAAAATGCATTAATTCTTTGAAAATCTTCTTCTCTGCTCCTGGGTATTAAATAAAGGAACTAAGTACATAGTTATGATGAGAAAGAGTGCCTCTTCCAAAATTGTGAAATTCATGGCCCCAGGGTCAGGGGTTCTGGCCCCAGGGTGGGGCTATATAGATCATATAGTGAAAGTGCATAAATTCTTTGAAAATCTTCTTCTCTGCTCCTGGGTATTAAATAAAGTTACTAAGTACATAGTTATGATGAGCAAGAGTGCCTCTTCCAAAATTGTGAAATTCATGGCCCCAGGGTCAGGGGTTCTGGTGTTAGGGCGGGGCTGTATTGATTATATAGTGAAAAAGCATTAATTCTTTGAAAATCTTCTTCTTTGCTCCTGGGTATTTAATAAAGTAACTAAGTACGTAGTTATGATGAGGAGGTGGGCCTCTTCCAGAATTGTGAAAGCCATGGCCCCTGGGTCAGGGGTTCTGGTGTTAGGGCGGAGCTCTATTGATTATATAGTGAAAATGCTTTAATTTTTTGAAAATCTTCTTCTCTGCTCCTGGGTATTATTTAAACAAACTAAGTACATAGTTATGATGAGCAAGAGTGCCTCTTCCAAAATTGTGAAATTCATGGCCCCAGGGTCAGGGGTTCTGGTGTTAGGGCGGGGCTGTATTGATTATATAGTGAAAATGCATTAATTCTTTGAAAATCTTCTTCTCTGCTCCTGGGTATTTAATAAAGTAACTAAGTACGTAGTTATGATGAGGAGGTGGGCCTCTTCCAGAATTGTGAAATTCATGGCCCCAGGGTCAGGGGTTCTGGTGTTAGGGCGGGGCTCTATAAATTATATAGTGAAAAAGCATTAATTCTTTAAAAATCTTCTTCTTTGCTCCTTGGTATTTAATAAAGTAACTAAGTACGTAGTTATGATGAGGAGGTGGGCCTCTTCCAGAATTGTGAAAGCCATGGCCCCTGGGTCAGGGGTTCTGGTGTTAGGGCGGAGCTCTATTGATTATATAGTGAAAATGCTTTAATTTTTTGAAAATCTTCTTCTCTGCTCCTGGGTATTATTTAAACAAACTAAGTGGATGGTTATGATGCATAAGGATGCCTTTTCAAAAATTGTGAATTTCATGGCCCCAGGGTCGGGGTTCTGGTGTTAGGATGGGGCTGTATTGATTATATAGTGAAAATGCATTGATTCTTTGAAAATCTTCTTCTCTGCTACTGGAGACTATTTAAATGCATAGGGATGCCTTTTCAAAAATTGTGAATTTCATGGCCCCAGGGTCAGGGGTTCTGGTGTTAGGGCGGGGCTCTATTGATTATATAGTGAAAATGCATTGATTCTTTGAAAAACTTCTTCTCTGCTACTGGAGATTATTTAAACAAACTAAGTGCATGATTATGATAGACAAGGATGCCTCTTCCAAAATTTTTAAATACATGGCCTCAGTTTTGGGGGTTCTTGAGGAGGGGAGGGGGGGGGGGGGAGGGGCTAGGGCAACAATGCTTCATCTATCAGTGTATTTAACTTCTAAATTGTTGTATTATACTCAGGTGACCGTTAAGGCCCTTGGGCCTCTTGTTAGTGATCCCCATCTGTCAACGAGACGTGATAGGGCTCTTCCAATCACGTTACTATAATAATAAGGCATTCATTAATCATTATATACCTCCTATATTAACTAGTATGATCTATGAAAACTTTTGGGATCAATTATTTAATTTTTTTCTATAAACAAAACTCTCTTTTCAAGGAACTTTTTGAAAAGCAAGGGGAAAAAATCATGTATACTGTGTACTAAATGTCATCAGTTTTAGAGGGAAAGTCAGTTCACAGTCATGTGACAGTAAAATTGAGTGAAACACAGTTCGGTATATGATAAAATGAATAATATTGTTTTTATTTATTACGTTATCACCTTAGTTAGTGTGGGGCCATTTAATAGGGGATCAAAATTTGGCATGCAAATATTTAGGAAAATAATAAAATGAATAAATCGAATATTGTTTTTCTTTATTTCGTTGTCACCAAAGTTAGTGTGGGGCTATAATAGGAGATCAAAATTTTACATGTACACGTACATGCAAATGTACAGGAAAATAACATAATGAATAATATTGTTTTGTTTATTTGTTGTCACCTTAGTTAGGATGGGGCCATAATAGGGGATTGAAAATTTACATGCAAATATAGAGAAAATAATCTTTGAAAATTCTCCTTTCAAAAGCAACAGGGCTATTGCAGCATTGTAGCAACTTCTAATGATAAAACACCTTTTTCTGATAGAAATATCATTAAGCGTCACAATTGCAAAGCTTAATGCCATAAATTATTGCATTAATAGTTGACACTCTCAACCGCTAATTAATTAATTAATGCTAAATCGCTTAATGATAAATTATATCATTAATTAAGCGGTGCAATGCAGTGAGCAGTCCCGATGCCTAATGAAACAAATATTTTCATGATCCAAAAGATCGTGGAATTTCTTTTCATTTTATTTATTTATTAATGGAAGTGGTTGAAAATTACACTTGAATTTTCTTAGTAAAAGAATATTTTAAAAATTCATGAAATTAACACTTGGCAGTTGCCATAGAAATGTTTCTTTAAAAATATGGGGAAGACATTTATTCGTTCATTATCATTTCAATTCTTAATACTTAAGTGTCATATGAAATGAAAACCATGTCATGATTACAACTGCTTGAACTTTTATAAACCTTTGTGTGAAAGTTCAGTCAATTTTATTGTATTATTCAGTTTTTTTGTTGATGATTTGTTGTTCATCATGACAATGTTAGACAAAATTGAAATGCGGGCAGGTGAATCTTCGGAACACTCCGACTTAGACGCATATATATACATATATGTACGTATGATACAGGCAGGAAAAAGTGCAGTAAGCAACTGGTGTAAGAAATTTAAGGAAAATAAACTTCGTGGAGGATGATAAAAGGTCTGTCTGCCTGCTGGAAGGTCGCTTTTTTCCTCGTTGACAAATTGAGAGCGTAAATGGAAGTGACATGCTTTGCTGGACATTACTACTAAAATCGGAATAGCGTATGGACCGATGAAATGATTTTTTTTTTTTTTTTTTTTTTTTTTTTTGCAAGTTAGACATTTGAGAGCTTCAAATTTGTTCTTAATTAATGCTTGATATAAATATCTAATAACATATGTCAAGAAGAGTCAGTAAAACATTTTACTTAATCAAAAAATTATGTACGAGTATGAAAATAATAATTTGATAAAAAAAAAAAAAATTAAATCTTTGGAAAAAAATCTTCAAGAAACATAAAAGAAATACTTTACAGTCATATTTTAGGATGAAATTGAAACAAAGTCACCAAAATGTAAGAAAAAACAATAATCTTTAAATTTCAACCTAATCCAATCTAAATTATAAAGTGATCCTGAGTGGAAGTATGTCAAATGGAGATACATGTATTTGTTGATTATTCAATTTCACAATAATACAAACATGCTTGGCTGCGATTTATGTTTACAAATTATTTGACCTTATTCAGAAAGTTGATTTCTTGCTGGCAACTGCATCAGATTGACAGTAAATTGTTGATTTTTTTTAATTTTTGGTTAATTTTTATTGGGTTTATTTCAATTGTTGCAAACTTGAAAATTAGCAATTTTTCTTGAATTTCACAAATTCATTTCAATTTCTTTTTAAAATATGATTGCCCAATATTTGTTTTCTATATATACATATATTTTTCTTTAAAATCTTGTTTATTTTCTTCTTTAATATTTTACAATTTGAATGGAAATAATTTAATACCATTCAGAAACTAT